TTTCTCCAAGTATGCTCCGTCGCTGCAACACTCTGGTCTAAAATACTGCAATCAGAAAATTTTGTTCCCGAACATGTGAAGCCCAAAGACTCTCTGACTGTTTGTTAGACCACCAAACGTTCCACTTGTCCATTCCAGTTGGACACACTAAGAATATCGGTTTGACTCCTGCTGAACCTCAAAGGAAAACTGCTGATTTAAGTTTGAGTCTTTACCTGTCGTCATGATCTTTAGGTGGCAAATACAAGTCTCTAAAATGAGCTTTTTTTTACATGGTTTTGGTGGAATATCTCCCTGCTGCTGCCTTTTCAAATGGGGGGAGCCCAAAACATACCAAAAAATGGATCTTGTGTTTGGGGTTCCAAAGAGAAGCTGGAGGATCTTTAAGGTAAATGGTATCAAAATCAGCTCAGAGGTTCGGCCGACTTGAAACGCACCTAATAGAAGTTTGAATTCAGCTTCGTCATCACTTCCAAACAATATGGAGGACGTACAAGGAAGCAAAATGTGGACAATAGTGCAAAACAAATCGGACTAACCCTTTACAGTAGCAGCTCCAGGTTTGTGAATGGTGAAACAAGGCGTTTGCTTCTTTGTTTACTGCCCTCGTGCCCTTTCCTTGAGGTGTTGAGGAGGTATACGTGGCGCCGAGCTCTCTCTCAGCAGGACGAAGGCGCAGATGCTGCAGAAACATGGTGAGCCATACGGGCCTGTGGTGGCAGTACGAGCTGCTGGGTTCCTTCCAGCTCTCCTCTGACTCATTACAGAACAAAATACTGAAAATAAACACACCAGCAACACTATAAATATCAGCCGCTAAACAGCTCCGGACCCGCTGACCCGATTCGTCACACATCAGCCTTCAGCGCTTTTCCCCGCTACCTGACAAGAGTCTCTTTCTGACCCGGCCGTCGCTTTCATGTGGAGAAGCAGCGCTGAAGCTCTTTCTCTCCCGAGGTCTCTTCGGGACGGCGTGTCGTGTCGGTTTTTCTCTCCGATTTATAAAAACCTCCTTCGTCCTCTGACCTTCTTCTGCCATCGGACACGTTTTCTGCGTTCGTCAAACACCAGAGAGGCTGACAAATTAAAACTGCTCGTCCTCGTCGCTGAGTTCAGCTCAAAGGTGGAGCAGCAACGTTGGAAGTTAGAGATTGAGCTTCTTTGTGCACGAGTTTGCAAACAAGTATTTGTTACTTCAGGTTTGATTTGGGCATTTTCAGTCACACGGCTATTTATTGGTGTTTAAATCCTGATCGCTAAGACAAAAGGCGCCTTTCGTACCTGCACTGGTTTCCATCACACATCTGGACACGTCAGTTTGCGAACCATTAACTGCTACTAAGCCGTCCATAAAACAGATCAATCACAATCTGTACGGTTGCGTCTTTGCGGTGGAACACTTCTGGATGTGGCCTGTTTTTGACTTTCTTCTCGTTCTGCTCCTGCAAACGTCGCTGCAACCTCTTCTTAGCTCCGCCCAGTACAACTGTGATCGTTGAAAGAAATGCGAACAAGCCAGAGAGTTATCCTAAAAAAAATCCTAAAAACAAAATAAAACTCACAAAACATGATGGACAATTTAAGCCATTAAATTTTTTTAAATTTTTATTTTTATTTTTTTCTAATGTAGTCACAGACGTGGCCTTTTCTCAAAACTTTTTCCAGAATTTTGAAACAAGTTTTCTTTTCCTCAAATCCTTCATAGCAAATGATTCGCCTTTAGATGCATCACATTTGTCTAATTTCTTTTAAACTACGTAGAAACGCCAGCTGGAACAACCTCACCTCTGTGAATAATCAACTTAAAAACTCACGCTGCCACTTAACCCCTAGAGATCTGCTGTCACGCCGGCGTGATGTTATCTTATGACATTTTCTAAACGTCTGGACAGAAAAACACTAATTTTTTTGTCATTTTACAAAACAAAAATGAAAGAAAGTCCCTGGAAGTGCAGCTCGTGTAACGTGGCTGCCTCATTCTGGACAGAAACGTGTAGAAAATTGACCTTTTCATGTTCATATCTGCAGCCTGTGTTTGCATTTTCAACTTTCAAAATGCTTCGTTAAACACATTTGTGGTTTTTATCATAATAAATAACATATTTTTCAGATTGGATTTAATATTTTTTGTGTGTTTTTGAGCCCAAAATGTTCATGTTGTTGGTCAAAGTGAAAAAAATAATAGATCATAGAGATGATGGGAAAAAAGATACCAACCATGGTGATGGTAAACATGTTTCTATGTGGTTTATAAAGACAAAACTAAAAGTATGTAAAAACAG